GCCTCTTGATATAGCGGCCTACTTGCCTCCTGGGCGGTGACTTCCAGGCCGCTCGGCCTCCCCAAGCAACCGGTACTTCCTCCGTTTCGGAGGAAAACATCATTGCAGACCCTGATATTACCCGTACAGGCTCTAGACTCAGACTGGTTGGACTGGTACCGGCCTAGACCTACCCTRCCGCTACTGGACTCTAAAAATGCCAACTTTGTCTTCTTCTGCTCGGCCTCCAGTACCCCTTCAAGCCAACTGCAGTGGGGTGCAGTCTCGGCCTACCTGCCTACTTGAGTGTTTTTCCGCTATGCCAAGGGCCGCGGGGCCGCTAGCTTCGCCACTTGAGTGTTTTTCCCTGCTACAACCCTCAATGCCACGGCCACAGGTAAGTACCGGCCCTACGGGCCTGCCAAACAAACAAGTACCCTTGCGGGTCACACACACACACTCATACCGACAAGCACTCAGACAGGCACGCAGGTCACAAGCACACACACACAGACAGACTTAGAAAACACAGCAGAATGCGGGAATCTCATCAATTCATCCATTCCATCAGCAGAACTTCAGAAATCAGCAGTGTTCTCAGTCTGTGTTATGACGGGTCATTACAGACAGAAAACACCTGAGGAAAATCGGGAGAGTATCTGGGAAAAACAGGACCATCAGTGGTCCAACGTCGTGTCAACGTCGTGTCAACGTCAGTGGTCCAACATCGTATGGACATCAGTGGTCCAATGTCGTGTGGACACGAAAATGCTAAAAGAGATTGGTTTGTTTTCGGAAGCCTAATTTTATTTCCTGGGGGGAAAAAAGTCAGTTTTAACTAAATGGCTCTTAATGGTGGTGTTTGGACCTGATGGTACGTACCAGACACGTGGTTGTTATCCATTAGTTATTAACTTATTAGTAGTTATTATCTTTTTTTTCTCTAACGGTTATTATCTATGTTTGCCAGTCTCCGGAGTCCACTTTGTTCCCTCTTTATCAGAAGATATCCTCTGGTAAAGAGGGAAAGAACTGTCCACTTTGTTTTCTTTTTTAGGGGACAAAGTGGGAACAAAGTGGACACTGGAGACTTTGTTTTCAAGCTTTTTCTCCTCGTTACCTGCCTTCTAATGAATGGGGCCCTTTTTCTCGCCCGTATTGCTGTGACATCGTTTTTTTCCCTTTCATGAAACAGCAGAATTGAAGGGCATGGTTGACTTGATATGTTCCTAACTTCTTATGCTAGCCAGACAGATTCCAGTGGAAGATTCCATGGTCCCAGTGGACGGTTCCATGGTTCTAGTGGAAGGTTCCATGTCTCCAGTGGACGGTTCCATGGTTCCAGTGGAAGGTTCCATGTTGCCAGTCGTACCAGGGTTTAGCGGCTGAGCACAAAAGGCTGTCTTCTGCTTTCGGCACAAGAACCTCTTTATTGTAGAGCATGTTGCATATCTGCAATAAGGGTGTTGTGTGACTGCTCATAGCAATGGTGTACGGTTTCTATGGTTTTGTTCCTTTGTATTGGGCAGGGAAAGAGGTTGTGGTCGTTGATAGCCCAGCAGGACGGTTGGGATTGACTATCTGCTATGATTTGAGATTCCCAGAGTTGTATCAACGGATGAGGTTCATCAACAATGCAGAGGTATGACATATGATAGATATGAGGATTGTTGTTGGTGGTATATGCATGATGCTACTGCCAGGATCCAGATCACATGATTTTATTTTATTCTTTTTTGTATCCTTTCGCAGGTTCACGTATGGGAACCTTGTTACGACTTTCCTTCCTATAAACGGTAGCTCTCCTTCCCTTCTGTTTAACGCAAATCTTACTTCGTTGTGCTCCTGAAGCAGCTTCCTTTTCTTGCTACCTCTATTCCTATTCACTGCCTGCCCTACTGTCTTCACCTCTCTATTTGCCATAGCCTTTGTTCTGTCTCCCCCCACCTCCTTGTTTCGTCCTGCCTCAGTACCTTCCTTCTTCTACCCAAACTCGCTCGTCCTACTTATTTCCCCCCCGCTCTTCTCTCTCGGCTTCCCCCTATCTCCATACTGATACATGCCCAGTTGAGCAATGTATGTACAGCCAAGGATCCGCAAGGTGATGAAAAGGACTGAATGGACAATGCAGTGTTAGTGGAATCTCAACAAGCAGTGTACATCCTGATACATACAAAATGGCACTTTGTAGCGCAGTGGAAGACTTGGATATAAGTCCTGACCTGACTGGGCTGACAGGATATCCCATCTAGGATATCAATGATCAACCCAATCAATGTTGCAATGCAGACTAAACATACATTGTCATCATTACAAGGTGTGAAGGGGCCTGGCGTTCACACAGGAAGAATGCGCCAGCCCCAAACATCCACAGACGAAGCGGAGGGGGATTAGACGAAGATGAGGGAGAAGATGGGAATGTCGTCACACAAATGTCACTGGTATCGATCCCAAATAGTCCCTCGTCAATGTCTCGATCCCAAAGTTGAGTCTGTAGCCCAATGTCGTCAACAACCCCAAAATCACCAATCTCTCTCTCGCTCGTAGTCTGCTGATGCCGAGAAGTCAGATAGCGAGAGGGTGAGGAAGAGATGGTGGACTGAGAGGAGGAAGAAGAAGAACTCTCTCTCTCTCTCTCTCTCTCTCTCTCTCTCTCTCTCTCTCTCTCTC